ACTGAGAAGCCAGCACACATGTTTGAATAGTCAGGAACAACAGGCATGGAGAAGAGATTAAGAAATTGACGTTGTCAATCATGTCATCTTGCTTGGATTCACAATCAACATCCTTGGTACCAACAGTCAAAAAAAAATAAAAAAATGAATCACATTGGAAAAATCTTCTGTCACAGACCTTGTCAGTGATGTCAGCTTAAAATCTAAAGTGGGCCTGATGTAAGCCATGGCCTTCCCAATTGCTTGTTATGCATCTGAAAATTAGACAGTGACAAAGAGTGACTGAAAAAGTATCAGTGCCTTTGAGTTGTTGTTTTAGAAAAGACTACTAACTAGTCCATGGGCTATCAAGAGAACAGAAGGGTCTGTCTTGGAGAAGATAAAACCAGAGTGCTCCTTGGAAGCAAGGATGGTGAAACTTTGTCACACATACTTTGGGCAAGCTGTTGGGTGGGACCAGTCCATGGAGAAAGAAACCATTCTTAGAAAGGTGAGGGTGGGTGGCTGGGTGGGGTGTCAGTGTAAGAGAGGAAGACCGTTGACAGGACAGATTGACCCAGTCACTGAAACAATGGGCTAAGGGATGTTGGAGATGGTCAGAAAGGCACCAGACAGGCCAGAGTTTAGAGCTTTGTTAATGGGGTCACTATTTAGTTCTGCTACAGTGCAGACACAGTGTACAAAATACTAGATTTAAAAGAAATGGATGCTACTACTGCATTCTAGATGGTAGTTCATTATGAAACTGGCCATACCCGTGTAAGAAGAGAAAGTACTAGGTTGTGAATTGTGTGTCTCTTTAGTTGAATAGCAGCATGTATGTGTGTTTGAATCATAATAGAAGTTGAAAAGTAGGATACGACTGTGGAAGAAGAACCCGTTCCATAATGTTGCCTAAGTTAGAGATACTGTGCTGCTGTTCATGGTCTTAGGTGTCACAGCTATACACTTACAGCTATCAAATAATATGACAAATAATTCATTGGCAATCAAAAACTTTCTATCCTTGATATTCTCCCTTCTAAAATTAACTTTTGATTTGTGTGAAAGTTGACAGAGTAAACTGGTTTTACACATTTTCTTTTATGGCTTTGATTGCAACCTCCACGATGTAACTAGCTACATTCTTCCTGCTCTCTCCCTATGGTTACCTTTTCTATTTGCCCTTTCCTCCATCCCTTTCTGCCTTCTGAGTTTTCTCCCCGTATGAATATTGCCCTTTTGATCTAATATGACTGATTATTCTCACTAGTTTGTACTTCCCTATGGTCATATTGTTTATCTTATAGGCCTGTCTTTTAAAATTTAACTGAAAGTTTAGTCATAGAGGTGACTTCAGTTCCACGTGTGAAGGGTGTCTAAAGGCTATGGTTTCTGTACTCCCACCAGTCCCTATCAGAGTAGTAGATGTGATCTTTAAAGAATGATTTTTGAGTCTTTGTTGGACACTTTTCTCTCATTTTATCCAGCACTTCATATTGTGATCCTTTCAGAGTGGTCCGCACTGGTAGCTGGGCACCATCTAGTTCTTCTGGTCTCAGTGACATTGAACCTGAGGTTCATGTGGTCTATTAGTCCTTTGTACCTTTGACTTTTTCCACTCTTCTTTGTGCTGGACAAGGAGAGGAGACTGTTATACCTGAGGTGGTCAATCATTGCTTTTAAGACCCTACTTGATACTCACCAAAGCAGGATGTAGAATACGCCAGTTGACCTTCCTGTCCCTGGGACAATAGATGGTCTTGAGCCCTTGCGCCCAGCACCTCATTTCCTTAAGATGTATGGTTATTAGCTAAAGCTTTCCCATGTTTATGTGAGAAATGTATGCTTTGCTATATTCATAGATATGTTTGAAACACACATATAGAAATCCTCTCTGTCAAGCCTTTATTCTCACAGGCTTGATCCCATTCACCCTGTCTCATTTGTTAGGTCTTTGTCAGTGCCGTTACTGCAGGAGTGTATATTTAATAGTGTCCCCTTGGTTGCATTTGACTCTCATGCTCTTCACATTATCTTCCTTTGCCCTGATCATTTTGTACTGATCGTTACTGTGTTGTTAGGTGCCCCCCAGTTATCCCTGACCCTTTGGGACCCTGTGTACAACAGAGCAAAATTCTGCTCAGTGCTGTGCTAGCCTCACAATTGTTGCTTGAGCCCACTATTGCAATAATTGAACCCAAATTGCAAGCATTGTGTTAATCCATTTCATGGAACATCCTCCTCTTTTCTACTGACACTTTACTATATATGAGCTTTAATCATTTCCACTATTATCTAACAATGGTTTTGAAATCCTGGTGGTTTTGTTTGGTTTTGATCAGAATTAGTTATATAGCAAGGAGAGTGTGTATGGTGTTGCTGGTGACCTAATTTCACTCTCCTTCATTACTTTTTTCTGTCTTGTATTTTCAGCATCCCTCCTGGTCATAGTTCTGTTGGTGGGAAGGGTAAAAGCATGTATGTTTGGAAAAGTAAGAAGGGGCACTTTCCCAGGTTGTCACTGACCCTGCTGGGAAGAGCCAAAGTGGAGATGAAGCTCACCCTCCACGCATTCTGGTGAAGGTGGAGGGATACGAAGGCGGAGCTTCCTGAACTTTCTGGGCAGGCTACACCTCTGTACGTTTTAGTTCCCTGGTTTCTTACATTAAGGGGGTGCCTACATCGCCCCGTCCTGTGACTATGTGGCGTGCTTTAAACGCAGAAAGGAGCCCTGGTGGCCGAGTGTGTATTTATGAGTCAGTCTGACAAAGAAAAAGGCGAGAGTTGGAATCCTGGCTGTTCTGAGGGAGGAAGGCGGGAAATGACAGCCTTGGAAACACAGCGTAGGGTCTCTGTGACCTGTAACTGACTTGGCAGCAAGTCAGGTCTGTTACCAACTTTTGGAAGAACTAAAAGAGGAAATGTATGAAATACATTCAGCTCCAAGAGAATTCTGAATTGATGACTACATTAAGAACATAAATAGGTGGTGGTTGTTACTAGCTGCCATCCAGTCGGGACAGACTAAAAGCTTACCCTGAGGCTGTCAACCACAAGGGTGGAGATTGTCCATCTTTCTTCCCAGGAGCAACTGATGGATTTGGTTGGCAGAACAATTCCTTACCACTTAGGCCACAACCTCTTCCCTTTAAAAAAAAGAAAGATAGGTGGTGGATTGTGTGTGTGTGTGTGTGTGTGTGTGTGTGTGTGCGCGCGCGCGCGCGCGCCTTATTCCAAGGTTAAATTTGTAAATTAGCAGTGAACAATGCAGATCCCTTAGTGTACAAACGTATAATTGAGATTCTAGTGGTGTTCGGTGAGCTTCTTGATTACATTTTAAAAAGCGAAGAGGACAAGCTGATAATGTTGGAATATGTTTCCAGTGTTTTTTTACAGCCCTGGTTGCTCAGAGCAGGAGTTTCAGGTGTGAAAGTAGGCACATTAGTCATTTTCCAGGAATCCGAACCGACACATACCTCACCCTTCAGAAGGGCGCGGAGGCTCTGAGTTCCGTAGGAGAAGGTGCCCAACTTTTCTCTTGAGCTTTGGTAACTGCTGGACAGATGCTCCCCACCTTTAAAGCGTATTCAGATTGTCTGACTTTAAAATAGCGTGGCCTCTTCTGAGCAACCTGCTAGAACACTTGATTTGAATGTGCCCATGTGATCATAAGCAGATGTGGTAATTTTCTTCAGAAAGAAAGGAAGGACTTCACTTAAACTTCAGGCTACCTCAGGCTGGTCTTTCAAGGAATCAGCTACAATGTGGTTTTGATTTTATGGTGGCAAACAACTTGGTGGAGCTACAGAAGTTCCCCTTGAAGAGAAACTCTCTTACTTGTCTAACTTAAACCACAGCTTCCAGCCCTCATCAGTAACTTAATTTGGGAGCAGCCACTTACATGATTTTTTTTTTTACATGATTTTTTTTTAAGTGAAGATTAATCTAGTCACTGGTGATGGCCAATGTGCTGTTGCAAAGCTGGTTGGTCTTTTCTACTGAAATATCAATACTTGGGTAAAGGAGCTTATATTACCATTTTGCTGTCTGTCCCCTATCACAGTTCCCATTTCCATTTATTAGGTCATGTCTCTCAAGTGCCCAGGGCCTTTTTATTATTTAATGTGGTGGTGGTGGTGGTGATGGGCAAAGGGTTTATTATGACAAGGGTACAGTGGAGCTCAGATGTCAGATGGGCCTAGCCTCAGATCTCATCTTCACCATTTGTTAACACTTGGAGTTTAAACACATTCCATAACCTCCCTTGAGTTCCAGTTAAAAATGGAGAATAATAACGGTGCCTACTTTGTAGGTAGTTTATGAAGTCTTGGTAAGAGTTTAATGAGATAATAGAAATAAAGTGCTTACCTCTGTGCCTGGTACTTAATTAATACTGTTGCTATTATTATATTTATTGTTGTAGATTATTATAGTGATTTCATGGGAAGTCTAAAATTTTCCACGTTTGCTTCAAAGTCTGTACTCTGGAAATCACCCTTACTTAGCCATGATTTCTTGGTGTTCCCTATGTCTAGGCCATGTGGTGGTCAAAGACAAACCATCACCTGTAGTCTTGTAAGCATTCTGCAAAATGATAGGTTGGCAATTCAGACCCACCCAGTGGCTCCCCAGGTGCAAGGCCTGGAAGTTTGCCTTCATAAACTCTACAAACCAGAAAACTCAATAAGGTAGTTATACTCTGTCACACAGGTCACCATGTGTTGAAATTGACTTGAAGACACCAACAACAATAACAGGATGTAATGATATTCTAACATGTTGCTTTTTATGACAACCAAAGAGAAATTAAGAATATAAAGTCTCTTGTGTATATGCCCTTGAAGTCACATATGCATACCAGAGTGTTACCATTGGTTAAACAATGTGATGCCTCACAAAAGATTTGTTTGAAAGTTCTAGTAACAAGTGAACTGTGCAATTGAAAAGTGTGATTTACTGAATTTTTTTAGTTTTTAAAAACTTTAATAATAGACCTGCACTGTTTTTCTCTCTAACAGATGGCATTAGGACATGAGCAAGGATTTGGAGCCCCCTGTTTAAAATGCAAAGAAAAATGTGAAGGCTTCGAGCTGCACTTCTGGAGGTAATAATTTGCAAATGTACAGCCACACACACTCAGGTTAGACAGACCCTCAGAGGGGAGTCATGTATGCAGGGCCTCTCCGGCAGGTCCAGGAGCTTTCCAAGTTGTCTAACTAGTTAGTCTCTCTGAGGAACGGATACAGAGGAGAGCCCTCTACCCTCCTTTAATAGCTGAGGTTAGAATATGAATATAGTGTCATTTCTTTGTTGTTCTTCAGATTTACTGGCAGCTCCAGAATACCGAATATGTCTTTGGGAGTATATAAAAAAAAAAAGTCTTTAGAAACCTACCAGGACTGGTTATATGAAGTGGAATTTAGGTTACATCAACATTTTCAGCTGTGAATTTACTATTGCAAAACATGGAAACATCAGAATTAAAAGAATAATTACAAGTATTGATGGTTTCTTGGTTGTCTGGGCCTGCTATAACAGAAATACTACAAGTAGATTACAGCAAGACCATAAAAAACAAATGTATTTTCTCATGACGTAGGAGTCTGGACGTCCAAATTCAGGGTGCCAACATTTTAAGGGAAGGCTTTCTCTCTGTCAGTAAGGTCTTGGTCTGCCTTTGATATATGTGAGGCTGGAGGTCCTGTATAATTTCTGTGGGTCTTGGCATCAGTCTTCTGCTGGGTCCAAGACGCTCTTACCTTGGGAACCCCAATTTCAAAAGATACGCTTTGCTCCCAGCTCTTCCTTCTTGGTGCTAGTTCTGTCTGCTCTCTGCTCTCTTGTTTAGTCTCTTTTATGTGGTTGCTGTGATACTAAACACTGTGACACTTATGTGTCAAATGTGATAATGGTTACCCATGGTGGACAGTGTGGGCTGGAGCTCCTGATTAAAACAGCTTGGAAGCGGAAGTGGCATCCACTTCCTAAATGGCTTGCCTCCTGAAACCCTATGAACTTGGAGAAATGATAAAAGTTAAACAAGTGTTCAGGTCTTTCGTTCATAGGGTCGCTATGAGTCGTCCATGACTCAATGGCACTTAACAACAACCACAACATAGAGTTCTGTTGGCCTAGTGTATAGAAAGTTATACTACCAAGCCAAAGGTGGGTGATTTTAATCTGTGGCCCTCAGGCTTGGTTTTAATTGCTTTTGGTCAAGCATTCTTCTAAGTGATATAGCACTGGTCTGTCCATTTGCTGTACAGAAGTAAGTTGTGGTTGCTGTGATGCTGAACACTGTGACACTGATGAGTCAAATGCGATAATGGTTACCCATGGTGGACAGTGTTTGGTGGAGCTTCCCGATTAAAATAATTTGGAAGCAGGAGTGGCATCCTCTGGAAATTCTAAGAACCTGGAGAAACAATGCACATTATACAAGTGTTCAGGTCTTTTGTTCATAGGGTCACTATGAGTCGTCTCCAATTCGATAGCACTTAACAACAACAACCACACATATCTCATAAGGGATTGACTTAACATAAAACTTAGTCCGTAGTATCCTGTATCATGAAGATCTTTTTATCCTACCATATGGATATGAGATAGTTTAGGATTTACTGCACATAAAATAATTATATCAGATCACAACATAGAGAATAATAGCATAATACAGATAATTACAGCCTTGCCAAGTTGACATATTTTTTGGGAATATGGTTTGTCCATAGCAGATAGAAGAAAATTGTTGTCAGTCTTTTGCTTTGAGTCAAATGCATTTATATCGAGGTCCATCTAATGCAATGGATTAAAAATTTTAATTTTACATAGATTCTATTTGCATGTTTTATTCAAGTCATATTGAGTATCATATTAATCTAAATTAGTATTTAAAATCTTTTTCATGTGAAGAAATGTTCTTGAGCATTGACTGTCAAAACCTAATGATGATTCTTAATGTTTGTTCAAAGTTAAAATCTGCAAGTTAGTGATAGAAAAAAATAGAAATAATCAGCTGTCAATAATATTGCGATGACAGCTGGATCATTAAAATGACTCTCATTTAAAGACCATTTCTGTTCTTTGAAACTGTTTAGAATAAAAAATCCATGTAGGCTGTGTGTTGTTGTTATGTGCCGTGAGTCGTTTGCGACCCATAGCGACCCTATGCACCACAGCCCTAAACCCTGCTCTGTCCTGTGCCAACCGCACTGCCTCTGACACACCCATCCCGATTGTTGTTGTTGTTGTTATGTGCCGTTGAGTCGCCTGCGACTCATAGCGACCCTATGTACAACAGCCCTAAACTCCGCTCTGTCCTGCGCCAATCGCACTGTCTCTGATACTCCCATCCCAATTATCCCAGTTACTGAATCCCGATACAATATTAAATATTAAAGGATTATGTAAACAGATAGGGACCTCTAGTAGCCTAGTGGTGAGAAACTACCCTGCAGTCTCAAAGGCACGCAGTTTCAATCCCCCAGCTGCCACCAGCAGATCCGAGGGAGAGGGATGGGCAGTTTAATCCTGTGTGACTAACAGCCTCTGGAAACCCTCTGGAGGATCAGTGATGGGTCCGTTCCTACTCAGTGATGCTCAACAACATGTAAACAGATAGAAATTGGAACATAGACCCTTTGAAAAGATACTTTATGTAAAAAGTTTTACTAAACGGAAACCATTGTTTTAAGTAGTAAAGGCAGCAGAAACCACAACCTTCCCCAAAATGATGATGCTCTTTATTCTTTACCTTCAGGACGCTCAAATTAGCCAGAGAATTTTTTTATGATTATTACAAGACCTTACTAGCTCTTCGTTGTGCCCTTTTCTCAAGAGACATAAGAGCTCAGGGATATGACTGTTGTATTTTAGGATAGTAATGCCATTAAAGACAAAATCATTTGCTTGGGTTATAAGATTTTACACATCATTTAAGTCCCTCCTGCTTTGTGGAGGACGCCACTGCCCTCTAGCGGGCATAGTTCTTACTTTACAATCCTTTGACACAATCTTTTCATTCAAACAAATAATTGCCAAAAATTGCTGGAATGGAGATTTTTTTGCATCTCCTTAGTAAAAGCTGTCATTTTCTCCTTAAAGCATATCATAGTGATCCTTTTTTGGTTTTGTTTTGTCCTTTATTTTTTTTTTGTCATGGATCACTGCAGTTACTCTTTACCATTGAGTTGGAACCAACTCATCGCCAACCCTCCTGGGTTTTCAAAGGCAGTATATCGCATGGGAGTTGACTGCACATCTTTTTCCCAGAGAACAGCAGGTGGATTCGAGCCATGTATCTTTGGGTTGGCAACACAGCTCCTTACCACTAAGCTACCAGAGCTGCTGCTGCTGCTGTTCTTAGGTGCTGTTGAGTCAGCTGTAACTCACAGGGACCCTGTGGACAGCCAGCCTGCCTCCTGCCCCATCCTGTGCCATCATCACCATCTCTGACACACTAGAGCCCATTGCTGAAGACACCGTGTCAATCTCTCTCATTTGAGGGTGCTCCTCTCTCCATCACCCACCCTCAATCTTTTCAAGCATGATTTCCCTTTCCAGGGAATAGCCTCGCCTAGCTACATGTCCACAATATGAAAGACGAAGCTTTGCCATCTTTGCCTCCAAGGAGTAATCTATCTGGACCTTTTTTCCAAGACCTACCTGGTTTTCCTTTGATAGTCAGTGGGATATTCAGGACTCTTCGCCAGCACCACAACTGAAAGGCATCAGTTCTTCTTCTGTCATCTTTAGTCATTATCCAGCTCTGTGATGCATGGCAGTTGATTGAGAAGACCATGGCCTGAAGTAGACACACCTTAGTCTTCAAACTGGCATCATTGCTCTCCAGCACTTTGGAAGGGTCCCTGGCAGCAGATGTCTCCTGATTTCCTGACTGCTGATACTAAGGGTATTAATTGTTGATCCAAGCAAGATGAAATCATTGACAACTTCAATTCTTTCTTCATATCTTCTAATGCTGACTAGTAGTATATCCTATTTTCAGAGAATAATATGTCAGACAAGATCTTTACGGCATAAAAAAGTATACCCCTCGCTCCATTAGTTTTAGCACATAGTATAGTTTACGCCCTAGGGTATATATACACACTCTGAGACTATTAAAGAGCATAAAGATGAGGACATTTGGCACAGCCTCCAGCTTCACCAGGGTTTACACATTGATCCAGATCTTAGTGGTCTTTTTCCTAATATGAATCAGGGGCCTCTGGTGGCTTAGTGATAAGGAATAGTGCTGCCAACACAAAAGCACCTGATTCAAATCTACCAGTCAACTCCTGTGTGATTTACTGCCTCTGAAAACCCACTGGAAGGTGACCTATGCTTGGTTCCTACTCTACAGTACACAACAACAGCAACAATAATAAAGTATCAGTGCAGACATATTTCTCTTTTAGTTCAAGTTCTTACTAGTTTCTTGACTTAAAAAAAAAGTCATAGCTAGAGGCCTGAGGCCGAGAACTTTGGTGCTACGTGGTAGCTACTCTCACATGCAGTCTTCAGAATCTATTCTGTCCTGGTTGCACTGAGTACACAGAGATCCCAGCGGCGGGCCGGGGCAGAGAAGTATTATGGTCAGTGTGGGTCCAGGAGCCTATGGCTCTGCTCAGCTCACATAGCCGTCCCTTCTATCTTCAGAAGGACCTTGACTTCTAGGCACACTCACAGCCGACCTAAACTATTCTCTTCTTTACCAGCCTGTCCTTCCACATAGCCAAAGAATGGTCTTCAGAAAATAGACAGTACACTCTTTCCAGGAGTCTAAGGACCCTCTGTGCTTTCCCCTGGCCGGGATCCTTTCAAAAGTGTCCTCAGCCTATTACATAGAATTCCAGCACCTGGCTTCATCTTGATCTTCCAGCCTTATCTCCCACATTTGTTCCAAGCACCTTGTGCTCCAATTGCTTGATCCATGCTGCTCTCTGAAATGCTGTGCTGTATTGCCTGGTCCCTTTGCTTGTAAAGGCCACACTGGCATCTTTGTGGACTCTTAATAGGCAGGCAGACAGTGTAGTACTATCATTGGAACCACAAATCCATTACTCTATAAATAATAGATTCATCCTTTACCTTTGCTATATA